GAGCGATGTTGAGCACTTTTTCATGTATCTGTTGGCCATTTGGATGTCTTCTTTGCAGAAATGTCTGCTCGTGTCTTCTTCCCATTTCTTGATTGGATTATTTGGTTTTTGGGTGTTGAGTTTGATAAGTTCTTTATAGATTTTGGATACTAGCCCTTTATCTGATAGGTCATTTGCAAATATTTTCTCCCATTCTGTCGGTTGTCTTTTGGTTTTGTGGACTGTTTCCTTTGCTGTGTAAAAACTTTTTATCTTGATGAAGTCCCAATAGCTCATTTTTTCCCTTGTTTCCCTTGCCTTTGGCGATAATTCTAGGAAGAAGTTGCTGCGGCTGAAGTCAAAGAGGTTGCTGCCTGTGTTTTCCTCAAGGATTTTGTTGGATTCCTGTCTCACATTTAGGTCTTTCATCCATTTTGAGTCTATTTTTGTGTGTGGTGTAAGGAAATGGTCCAGTTTCATTCTTCTGCATGTGGCTGTCCAATTTTCCCAACACCGTTTGTTGAAGAGACTTTTTCCATTGGACCTTCTTTCCTGCTTTGTGGAAGATTAGTTGACTATAGAGTTGAGGGTCCATTTCTGGGCTCTCTATTCTGTTCCGTTGATCTATGTGTCTGTTTTTGTGCCAGTACCATACTGTCTTGATGATGACAGCTTTGTAATAGAGCTTGAAGTCCGGCATTGTGATGCCGCCAGCTTTGCTTTTCTTTTTCAACATTCCTCTGGCTATTCGGGGTCTCTTCTGGTTCCATACAAATTTTAGGATTATTTGTTCCATTTCTTTGAGAAAAGTGGATGGTATTTTGATAGGGATTGCATTAAATGCATCTAGGTAGCATAGACGTTTTCACAATATTTGTTCTTCTAATCCATGAGCATAGAACGTTTTTCCATTTCTTTGTGTCTTCCTCAGTTTCTTTTTTCTGAGAACAGATTCTTTGCCTCTTTGGTTAGATTTATTCCTAGGTATCTAATGGTTTTGGGTGCAATTGTAAATGGGATCGACTCCTTAATTTCTCTTTCTTCTGTCTTGTTGTTGGTGTATAGACATGCCACTGATTGCTGTGCATTGATTTTATATCCTGCCACTTTACTGAATTCCTGTATGAGTTCTAGCAGTTTTGAGGTGGAGTCTTTTGGGTTTTCCACATAAAGTATCATATCATCTGCAAAGAGTGAGAGTTTGACTTCTTTGCTGATTAGGATGCTTTTTATTTCATTTTGTTGTCTGATTGCTGTGGCTAGGACTTCTAATACTAGGTTGAATAGCAGTGGTGAGAGTGGACATCCCTGCCGTGTTCCTGACCTTAGGGGAAAAGCTCTCTCAGTTTTTCCCCATTGAGTATGATATTTGCTGTGGGTTTTTCATAGATGGCTTTTATGATTTTGAGGTATGTGCCCTCTATCCCTACACTGTGAAGAGTTTTAATCAAGAAAGGATGCTCTACTTTGTCAAATGCTTTTTCTGCATCTATTGAGAGGATCATATGGTTCTTGTTCTTTTTTTTTTAATTAATGTATTGTATCACATTGATTGATTTGTGGATGTTGAACCAACCTTGCAGCCCAGGAATAAATCCCACTTGGTTGTGGTGAATAATCCTTTTAATGTACTGTTGGAGCCTGTCGCTAGCATTTTGGTGAGAATTTTTGCATCCGTGTTCATCAGGGATATTGGTCTGTAGTTCTCAATTTTGATGGGATCTTTGTCTGGTTTGGGGATCAAGGTAATGGTGGCCTCATAAAACGACTTTGGAAGTTTTCCTTCCATTTCTATTTTTTTGGAACAGTTTCAGAAGAATAGGTATTAATTCTTCTTTAAATGTTTGGTAGAATTCCCCTGGGAAGCCATCTGGCCCTGGGCTCTTGTTTGTTGGGAGATTTTTGATGACTGCTTCAATTTCCTTAGTGGTTATAGGCCTGTTCAGGTTTTCTATTTCTTCCTGGTTCAGTTTTGGTAGTTGATACATCTTTAGGAATGTATCCATTTCTTCCACATTATCTAATTTGCTGGCATAGAGTTGCTCATAATATGTTCTTATAATTGTTTGTATTTCTTTGGTGTTAGTTGTGATCTCTCCTCTTTCATTCATGATTTTATTTATTTGGGTCCTTTCTCTTTTCTTTTTGATAAGTATAGCTAGGGATTTATCAATCTTATTAATTCTTTCAAAGAAC